TTTACTTCAGCTTTCCTTTTTTTATTGATAATGTCAATATCGTGCGGCAGGGTATTAAATATTGGTAGACTTGTAGATGCGCTTGTCTTAATATGCAAGGATTGAATATTCGCCCACTTCCTCGGTATCTTATCGACTATTTTTGGAATGCCGGTTTCAATATTTTCTGATAGTTGCGATGCCGTCATATCGGTAGTACCTATTTTAATCGCACTTGTAAAGTTGACGAAAATTTAAAATCAATTCTATAATATTGCTGCCAGTTGGTGTATTCATCGAATTTACTCACAGGCACGTTCCCGGGTTAAAATACATGAAGGTAGAACTACAAATTTTAGCGATTTCCTTCTCGAAATTTTGGGGATTTCTTAATTCCACTGGGATAGGTTGCCTGTTATTATGTTGCCGTTATTAACATTCCATGTTCGATCGTAATGTCAAATTAATATTAGGTAAAATATTGCTTGCCTCTTTTTTTTGAAAAAATTCTTCCCCAGCAGACTCGAAATATGATGTAATATCCTATTGTCCGCTAAAAACAAATCGTACGAATCGCATAATTTACGCTTCGCCTCGTACGGTTCGTATTTCTTACGAAGCTTGGACAACCCGATCACCTAATGATGAACATTTATTATAAAGTTGATGCGTCCCTTTTAAAAAAATCAAGATGAAAATACCTTTTTAATCTGCTTAACGCCTTTCGTCGCAACTAACTCTTTAAATTCTCTTTGTGGATCTTTTGTGAACAAACATATCTCCGTCGAGGAATCATATAAAGGATGCTTTATTGGGCTAGATAAATAAGCAAAAAATATCAAATTTGGATCCCCAGAATTGTTTTGTTCAATGGGTTATTGAAAATTACATGATAACAGGTTTATCGTTATTCTTTCCCATGAAGTTGTGAGTGGAAACAATAAGCCAAACAAATTGTACTTGATCCGCTAGGAGGTTTTGTTCGTCTTTCTCATTTTTTTTTAGAGGTAGTGTACCGGAGAAG